TGAGTGGGTGTGGGTGGGTGTGGTTGTGCGCGTGTGCGTGGATGCGCGCGCGCGTGCGTGCGTGCGTGCGTCCTCACCCCGAGGGCGGGTCCGCAGGGGACGCGCCGCGCCCGAAGGGGCGGCGACAGCACGGCCATTCCGAGGGCGGGTTCCTGCCCCATGCGAGCATTCCTTCCTTGCTTCCTCCATCTCCTCCCCCATCTGCGCCTAGTCCTCCTTCACCTCCTCCTCCGCCCCCGCCTCCTGCTCATCCTCGCCCTTCGTCCCTCCTCCTCCTCCTCCTCCTCCTCCCTCCTCCTCCACATCATCATCATCATCATCATCATCATCATCATCATCATCATCATCATCATCATCATCATCATCATCATCATCATCATCAGCATCATCATCATCAGCATCATCATCGTCATCATCATCATCATATCATCGTCACCACCACCACCGTCATCATCATCATCAGCATCATCATCACCACCATCATCATCATCAACATCATCATCATCATTATCATCATCATCAGCATCAACATCATGACCACCAGCATCACCATCAGCAATAAACACAACATCAAGATCACCATCACCACCGCCATCGCCACCACGACCACCATCTCATCCCATCCCATCTCTTCCCGTCCCACCCCCTCACCCTCGTCCTCCTAGTGTTTCACCCCCTCTACTCCTCCCCCATCCTCCTCCCATGTCCTCTTCCTCCTCCTCCTCCTCCTCCTCCTCTTCCTCCTCTTCCTCCTCCTCCTCATCATCATCATCACCATCCTCGTCATCATCATCATCATCAGCAGCAGCAGCATCAGCATCACCCTCATAATCGGCATCATCGTCAGCATCATCATTATCATCATCAGCAGCATCACCATCATCAGCATCAACATCAGCATCATCCTCAGCATCGTCATCAGCAGCAACAGCATCAACATCAGCATTATCATCACCACCACCAACAGCATCATCACCGTCACCGTCATCACCGTCGTCATCATCATCATCATCATCATCAGCGTCAGCAGCATCATCATCAGTATCAACATCATCAGCATCATCATCGTCAGCATCATCATCAGCATCATCAGCAGCATCGACATCATCAACACCAGAAGCAGCAGCATCATCACATCATCAGCAGCATCATCATCAGCATCAGCATCATCACCATCAGCACCAGGAGCAGCATCAACATCATGATCATCAGCATCATCATCAGCAGCATCATCATCAGCATCAGCATCAGCGTCATCATCAGCATTGTCATCATCATCAGCAGCATCAGCCTCATCAAAAGCATCATCAACATCATCAACATCAGCAACAGCATCAGCATCAGCATCATCATCACACGCAGCAGCAACAGCATCAACATCATCATCGTCGCCATGATCAACATAAACATCGTCAGCGTCATCAGCATCAGCATCACCATGATCATCGCCAGTATCATCAGCATCAGCATCAGCATCATCAACACCATCAGCACCATCAGCATCAGCATCAGCAACAGCAGCAGCAGCACCGGCATCAGCATCATCAGCATCATCACCATCATAATCATCATCATCAGAATCAGCATCAGCATCAACAGCATCGTCGTCATCATCAGCATCGTCATGATCATCATCAGCAGCATGATCATCATGATCATCACCAGCATCAGCATAATCCGCACCATGTTCATCATCATCGTCATCATCATCAACATCAACATCAGCATCGGAATCAGCATCGTCATCAGCATCATCCGCATCCGTCCTCATCCTCATCCTCATGATCATCATCATCATCATCATCAGCAGTAGTGACAACATCGTCAACATCATCAGCATCATCAGCATCATCATCATTATCATCATCATCGTCATCATCATCAGCATCATCATCATTATCATCGTCAGCATCGTCAGCATCATCATCAGCATCAGCATCAGCATCATCCTTCGCCTCCTCCCCCCTTTATCCTGTTCCTCCGACTCCTCCAGCCCCATGTCCCGTGCCCTACTCTGGCGGCCCCACGCTAAAAATCCCGTACTTGCTCACTTATTCACTTGATTCAAGCATCCCATGGTCGGGATCCTCGCCAATGACGCAGCCAGGCGTAGGTTTCCTCAAAGGTGGGAGAGGGAGAAAAGGAGTGGTGGCAGAGGGAGGACATGCAAGTGAGGCGGAGGAAGCGTCCTGATCCCTCGCCCTGCCCCCCTCCGCACCCTCATCCCTGAAGCCACCCCTAGAAGCCTGTTCCCCCCTCCCCATGAGTCGCCTCCCCTCCCCCCTGCAGGAAGCCACCAACGACCCACCACTGCCGACCCAGAGCCATTCAGGGCATGATTGGGGAACCCTTGGATCCCGGCAGCCCCTCGATCGAGATGAAGCGACCCACCAACTTCACCCCCGACACGATGAATGTCCGCTTGGCATTGGCGGGACATTGGGCCTTCTCCTGGAGCGCGTTCTAACACGGACTTCGAGGGAGGCAGATACAGCCATGGCGGCAAGGGTCCCCTTCGAACAACCAAGCAATTTGGCACTCGAGCGCCCAAACCTTCAAACTGGCAAACAGCAAGGAATCGTGCCCAATCCTTCTCCTCCCCTCCTCTCTCCTCCTCCCCTCTCCTCCCCTCCTCCCCTCTCCTCCCCTCTCCCTTCGAACAGCCAAGCAGCTTGACACTCGAGCGCCCAATCCTTCCTGTGTCCGTTCCTTCTCCCCTCTCCTCCCCTCCCCCTGCGTCCCTGGCGCCGCGGCCACCTTGGCGCGCTTGTCGCTGGCATCGTGATCCATGCAGAACCTGGGCCGCCGTCTACAACGACACGACGTGGGTCGGGTGCTTCCGCTTCGCCCATCATCATGATCCTCCTCCTCCTCCTCCTCCTCCTCCTCCTCCTAATCCTCCTCCTCCTCCTCATCAGCATCATCATCATCATCATCATCATCATCATCATCATCATCATCATCAGCATCATCATCATCAGCATCAGCATCAGCATCAGCATCAGCATCAGCATCAGCATCAGCAGCATCATCATCATCATCATCATCATCATCATCATCATCATCATCATCATCATCATCATCATCATCATCATCAGCATCAGCATCAGCATCATCATCACCACCACAACCACCACCATCATCATCATCAACACCATCATCATCATCATCACCACCACCACCATCATCATCACCACCACCACCATCACCGTCATCATCATCATCATCAGCATCATCATCATCGTCATCAGCAACGGCAGCATCATCACCAACAGCATCATCATCAGCATCAGTAGCAGCAGCATCGGTATCAGCATCACCATCGTCATCATCATCGGCAACACAATCATCAACATCATTATCAGACCCAATATCAGTATCACCGTCGTCGTCGTCGCCATCACCGTCGTGACCGTATCATCATCACCAGTATCACCATCATCACCTCAGTAGCACCAACAGCATCGACATCGTCATAAGCATCAGCATCACCAGCATCGTCAATGCCGTCGTCCTACTCACCATCAGCAGCAGCATCATCAGCATAGGCATCATCATCAGCAGTATCAGCATCATCATCACCATCAGCATCGTCAGCATCGTCAACATCGTCATCATCCTCGTCATCGTCTGCAGCATCGGCATCATCATCATCAGCATCACGAAAATCAGCATCATCATACTCATCATCATCAGCAGCAGCATCATCATCAGTATCATCATCGTCGTCATCATCACCATCAGTAGCATCATCAGCATGAGCAGCATCATCATCATCAGCATCAGCATCGGCATCACCATCATCACCATCATCATCACCATCAGTATCGGCATCGTCATCATCATCAGTATCAGCATCATCATTACCATCAACAGCCTCATCATCACCGTCATCAGTATCATCATCAGCAGCAGCACAATGATAATCAGAAGCAGCACCATCATCATCACCATCGCGATCGCCATCAGCATCGTCATCATCGTCATCACCATCGTCGTCACCCTCGCCATGAACATCACCACCACCATCATCATCATCACCATCACCATCACCCTCGTATGTCTCACCATCGTCGTCATCGTCAACATCGTCATCGTCATCGTCAGCATCAGAATCAGCACCATCATCAGCATCATTACCAGCATGGCCATCAGCATCATCGTCAGCATCGCCTTATCTTCCCCGCCCTCCTCCTCGCCCATCCATCTCCTCCCCCATCCTCGTCCTCCTGCTCCTCCTCCTCCTACTCCTCCTCCTCCTCCTCCAGCTCCTCCTCCCCCGCCTCCTCCTCCTCCGCCTCCGCCTCCTCCTCATCCTCCTCCTCCTCCTCCGCCTCCTCCGATTCCTCCTCTACCTTCTCTTCCTCTTCACCCTCCTCACCCCCGTCCTCCACCACATCCTCCTCCTCCTCCTCCTCCTCCGACTCCTCCTCCCCCTCCGCATCTTCCGACTCCTCCTCCCCCTCCTCCTCCTGATCCTCCTCCTCCTCCTCCTCCTCTTCCTCCTCTACCTTCTCCTTCTCCTCCTCCTCCGCGTCCTCGTCCTCCTCCTCCTCCCCTCCTCCTCCTCCTCCCTCCTCATCTTCCTCCTCATCCTTCTCATCCTCCTCCTCCTCCTCCCCCCTCCCCCCCCCCCCCCCTCCCCCTCCCCCCTCCTCCTCCTCCTCTCTCCTCCTCCTTCTCCTCCTCCTCCTCCTCCTCCTCCTCCTCCTCCTCCTCATCCTCATCATCATCATCATCATCATCATCATCATCATCATCATCATCATCATCATCATCATCATCATCATCATCATCATCATCATCAGCATCATCAGCATCATCAGCATCAGCATCAGCATCAGCATCAGCATCAGCATCATCATCATCATCATCATCATCATCATCATCATCATCATCATCATCATCATCATCATCATCATCATCATCATCATCATCATCATCCTTATCTTCATAATCCTTATTCCCCTTATCATCCTCGTCCTCATCACCACCCCTTTCCTCCTCTTTACCCTCCTCATCATCTCCTGGTCATGTTAGCCTCCTGCCCCATCCGACTCATTAGGTCCTGCGACTTCCCGAGCGGGGCGAAGAGCCCCGGGGACCGCGATGGGCATACGAATCGGAGTGCCGAAACATGCGAAGCCTCGGGGGCCTGGGAAGCGGTCGCACCCCGCCAAGAATCTGGCGGCGGAGGGGCCGAACGACCTTGTGGCGGCAGTGGTATTGGAACCGCGAGTCGATCGGCCCCCAGCCGCCCGCGCGCCCCGCAAGGGTCGCCGCTTCGAGGGGTGGGGACATCCTAACTCGTGACAGAGCACAAATCCTGGGACGTCAACACCGCGAATCAAGGTGACTGTTTTGTCCTGGCAACCCAACAACCTTTTGCAAAACATCGCTCCAGGGACTTCAAGCCATACGAATCAGCGAAACGGTCGCGAACGTTTAAGACGAATGCGCGCGGCGCTAGGGCGCGGACCACATATTGGAAAACAGATGTCCTACATCACTGAACCGCATGTTTTTTGTTTACGAATGCGCGCGGCGCTGAAGCGATGATCACATGTCGAAAAAAGAACCGCACGTCATCCATGAAACTATAGCGAATTCCAAACTTCAAGTTTCCTGCTCATACATGGTGTGGAGATATCATGCAAAACGCGCGGCCCGCCCTACTGACACGTCTGGCGGTGCGACAAGGAAACGCCACTAATAAGGGAACTGGCGGAGGAGGAGGAGGAGGAGGAGGAGGAGGAGGAGAAGGAGGAGGAGGAGGATTAGGAGGAAGGAGGAGGAGGTGGAGCAGGACAACGAGGGAGGAGCGGGGGAGTGAGAGGAGGTGGAGGATGGGGCGGAAGAGGTGGACGAGGAGGGGGAAAGGAGGGGGAGGTAACGGAGAGGATGAGGATGAGGATGAGGCACGGAAGGAGACAACGGGCGCTTGCTCCGCCACACCAGCCGAGATAGCCACGGCCATGGCGGCGGCGGGCACAGCGACTGCGGCGGCGGCGGCGAGGCGGCCCCCCCTCCGGCGCCTCGGTGGCACACTTGCAGAGGGCGTGGGGGGCGCGGCGCCGCATGGACTCGCCGCGGACGCCGGGACGGAGGGAACAAAGGACAGAAAGGGGGACTCGTCCGTGAACACCGCTTGGGGTGTCGATCTTCGGGGATCTCGGCAAAAAGTGGACATGCATGCTACGTATAAGCATATATCCGCCGACCCTGTCGGCGTGTGTGAGGCTGTTTCCGTTCGGGTCGGGTTTTTCAATTGGAATCGTCGTTTCCGCCCTCCTCTGTTCGATTTGCCTGGGCCCTCTTCGAGCGCGTTTCTTTATGTTCGGCGATGACGGGCGTCATGGGGGGGTGCCAAAAGGGGAGTATGACGTAACGCCCCCCCCGCCGTGTGGCTCCGCGCGCGCGCGACGAGCGACGAGCGACGAGCGACGAGGACGACGACGACGGCGCGAGCCGCATGTAGGTGGCGATATGCCCCACTGCGCCTGTGTACACCAAAATGCTCGCGTGCACCACAGCGCGCGTGTATACCACAGCGCCTGCGTACACCGCAACAACTGTGTGCAACGCAACGCCTGTGTACACCACAATGCTTGCGTACACTACAGCGCCGGCGTACACGTGCACACCGCAGCTACCATGTGCAACACAACGCCAGTGTACACCACGATGCTTGCGTGCATCGCAGCGCCTGTGCACGCCACAACGCGCGTCTGCACCACAGCATCCGCGTGCAACCCAGCGCCGGTGTACACCACAACGCCTGCGTGCATAGGACATGTGAAAAGAGCATGTACGTGAGGATCTGCTGCGGACAACTAGACGCCACGCCAAGAAAGTGCTGATAATCGGATGCGACGTTTTTCCCTCCTCCTTCCTCCTCCACCTCCTCCAACTCCTCCTCTTCCTCCTCCTCTTCCTCCTCCTCCTCCTCCTCCTTTTCCTCCTCCTCCTCCTCCTCCTCCTCTACCTTTTCTTCTTCCTCCTCCCCCTCTTCCTTACCCCCTGTCGTGCGGGTTGGCGCTACAGCGCACGTGCGCATGTCAGCGCGCACCGCAGAATGGTTTGTTGAATCGGTCCACTTGATTTTCGGGCGGCAGATTTAGCTGGAGCCCCTGGACGCACATGGGAGGAGTTAGGGTAGTGCGGGCGGATTCGGGAGGACTCGTAGATTCCAGCGGCGCTCCGTTGTCCATAAGGTTAATGTTATATCGTTTTCAGTGGAATCCACAAGCGTTCCACTTTGTCATAAAGGTTCGATATAAAATTCTATATACAATAATGGTGTTGGGTTGCACACGGTTGCTGTGGTGCACACAGGCGCCGTGGTGCACACAGGCACTGCAATGCACGCAGGCATTGTGGTGTACACTGGTGCTGTGTGTTGCACACAGCTGATGCGGTGTACACAAGAGCTGTGGTGTGCACAAGAGCTGTTGTTCCCGCAGGCACGGTGGCACAAATTGACGCTGTGTTGCACGCGGCTGCTGTGGTGTACATACGCGGTGTGGTGTACACAGGCGCTGCGGTGCACGCAAGCACTGTGGTGTACACAGGCGTTGTGGTGCAAATCGCCACCTACATGCTGGCGCTACCCGTCCTCCGTCATTCCTAAGCATTCCCAGACGCCGCCAGCGCGAAACGTGACGTCATCGACCACCTCCACCTCCCCCCTGTATGATTGCCGTCATCGGCCTCGATTAAAAAAACAGGTTTCAGCCGCGTCCGCGCGCACGACGACTATGAACAACGACCGACAAGATACGAGCGACGACAACAACGACGACGACGACGACGACGACGACGACGACGACGACGACGACCGCGGACCAGACTCCTATGCTGATTCCTACGCGGACACCTACGCGGATCCCAATGCGCACGGCGGCAATGCCCAGAGCGCAGTGGGGGGGAGCGTTACGTCATGGGGGGGACCAGGGGCCATGACGCCCGTCATGCCCCAAGCAATAAAGAAACGGGTTCTTCCTCACACGCGCCGTCCAAAGCAAAATTGAACATCGGAATGAAATCGACAAAAAAACCCTTCCCTCGGACCCCTTCCCCGGCCAAAGGGGGTCCCGGGGGTGTTCCCGGGAAGGCGCTTCAACCCCAGCCTTGCCCGAGGCCCTGGACCCAGCCGCGGCCCCAGCCCAAGCCCGAACAGAGCCCAAAAGAGCCCCAAAAGAGCCCCAAGAAAGGCTCCAGAGCGTCAGCGTCGTCGTCGTTGCCACTGCCGCCGCCACCGCCGTCGTCGTTGCCGCCCCCCCTCAAGGTCGGCAGCACAGGCCGCTAGGCTTTCCCAGTACACACACATATTTTTGTATGTATGTATGTATGTATGTATGTACGTATGTATGTATATATGTGAATACATATGTATATGCATGCGTATATGTATGTGTACATGTATGTGTATGTGTAAATGTATGCGTATGTATACATACATATATATATATATATATATATATATATATGGTCGCCACCCCCCGCACCCCCAAACCACTAAAAAACACAAAACATTCACTGATCGTTCGCTCGTCGTCGTCGTCCTCCTCGTCCCCCCCCCCCGTCTCTCGAACGCCTTCGAAATCAACGAAATCGTGAAAAAAAACAATGACAAAACGCGCGACCCCCCCCGAAAAAGAAAACGATGTTTTCGGGGGAACCTTGGCCCCCCCTTCCCCCAAAAGCTCTCCCGAAATCATGTGTTTTGTTTGTGTTTGGCTTTGGTTTGTTCAATCGTTTCCGCCATCCCCCCTGCGCTACCCTATATCCCCCTGATGTGTCGCCCCTCCTCATCATCATCATTATTATATTTGCTTCCTTCCTGCTGCGCTTTCCTCTACCCCCCTCCCCCCTCCTCCCTCCCTGAGGAGGGAGGATGGTCTTTGATGAGTCACTCCTCGTCCTTCTCCTCCTCCTCCTCGTCCTCGTCGTCCTCCTCTCCTCCTCCTTATCCTCCTCCTCCCTGTCGTCGCCATTACCATCATCACCAAAGCCGCCACCATCATCATCATCATCGGGGATCGAGGTCGCACTCATCTCATCGAGCTCAGCCCTGTCCTCCGCGCTCATATCATCCTCGCCTTCCCCCTGATCACCCCCCTCCCGGGGGCAAGTAGAGGCCGCGACCGCATCGATTGCAACCCAGTCTGTCGCAGCCCTTGTTCTGACATATATTTCCTGAGGGCGTTCTGCCTCATCGCGCATGCCCTTCGGGTGGGTGGTCGGCATCGACCGCTCGGCGGGCAATAATACTTACAATGCATACGGGTTCATGCGCGAGCACGCGCATCGCGCCGACGGCCCTCGGCTCTGACTGCGTCGCGCCCAGCGCGCGCCCGCAGGGCGCGGCCGCCGGCTCCAGCGGTCTCGCCGGGGGGCGGCGACCCCGACCCAGAAGCACGATCACGCTGCTTTATCAGGCGCCCGAGCTCGGCTGCCAGGTCGCCGCCGTCGTCGTCGTCGTCGACGGCGATCGTCTCCCCGCGGGCCGAAGCGACGATGGAGGCGAAGATCGCCCTCTGCTCCTCGGCGCCCACGGGCGACGGCGGACCTCCGCGCCCCACCATAAACCCCTTCGCCCTCTTCACTGACGGAGGCGAGGACAAGTCCTCGAAGGCGCCGTGGCTCAACCTTCGTCAGTTCCCCGCAACGCCCCGCGATGTCAGGCTGAACGGCGCTCGCGGCAGGGACGCCCTCCTCTGGCTCGCACATCCCGCCGCCGAAGCTGAGCGAGCCCTCGCCCTGGCCCCGATCGGCTCGCGCGCCTGCCGCGCCATCGGGGCGAGACGCCGAAGCGTTCGCGGAGGCGGATGAAGCGCCTGCCGCGCCCGGCGCAAACCCCGCAACGCCGCCGACAGCGGAGACCGGCCATCGCCAAACATCGGGGCGACGCGGGCAGTCGCAACCGCGGGCACGTCACTGCCCTCCACCAAATTACCCGCGCAGCCGAAAGACCATTCCATCTTCTCGGCGCAGTCTGAAGGGCGCGGGCGGACAGCGGGCGACGACGTGTCCCGCACCTCGCTGGCGAAGAGGTCGGGGCCCCTGGGGTTGGGCCACGGCGCGAACTCGGCGCCGCCCTCAAGGCCGGCGGACGCCGCGCGCCAGTGGGCGCAGCCGTCCGTGGCCACGGCGACGTTCGACCTGGCGAGGACGGCATGGACGTCCTCCTCGGTCTTGAACTCCTCGAGCGACGGGGCGAGGATGCGCTCGAAGTGGTCCAGGTCGTACTCGTTGCGCGCCGCCGCAGCCGACGCCGCCCTCTCCGCGTCGCGGTCGCAAGGGCTGGCAAAGGCTTGCCTGCGCGACCCTCGCCCGAAAGCGCAGCCGCCACACCGAGCCCGCAGCAGAACTCCCCCCCCTTGGGATTGAGGAAAGCGTTGAGCACGTCAGCTAATGCCTCCAGGCGGTCGCGCGCGGGCCCCGCCTCTACTGCCGCGATTTCCAGTCGGGCGAGAATTGCGGGGTCCACTTCGCTCGGGGGCCCACTTCGCTCGAGGCCCCCCCCCGACGAAAGGAACCGCAATCACCCTTGGAAACCGCGGCCAGCAAGGGCAAGGATCACGCGTGGCCACCGAACTTTCTGGAGGAGGCCGTCGTCAAAAATCACGAGCAGGACGTACGTCGTCGGCTCGCCCTTAAAGAAGTCCACGTGCTTGACAGCGGGGAAAGCGATCTCGTCGGCGGCCCCCCCCCCTCCAGATGCTGCGCGCCGAGCGCGTCCACGCCGAAAGTCTTGGAGCCGTTGCTCTCGCCGACCCTGGACCCCCCGGCCCACGGAACGCCGCGAGCGTGGAGGGCGCCAACCGCGAGCTCGACGACGCCGTTGAGGAACCAGCCAGCGAAATCCTTCACCGCCACAATCCAACGCGCGATCGGCCTGGCGCGCGCCCCCCCTATCCGATGGATGCGCAAAGCGGTCTCCACTTCGGCGGCTGGCCAACCGAAGATGTTCGACCCCTCTCGACTCACCTCCGCGTCGGCCCATTCCATAAACTGGTTCCTGGTGTTACTGCGAGGGCCGCGCTCGCGATAAGGAACCCGAGGTATCGCGAACGATGGG